ATGTTATGGCTGATCGGTCCCTACGCCTCCAGGACAATCCGTGGCACTTCAAACCATACAGTCTTAATTCATCATGTGTATTACAAAATATTAACCAGAGAGTTGAGATAATTTACTTTCAAGTTCAAGTAATTAAAATGATTATAAAAGACAGTTACTTGTGTCCGATTGTTTCTTTGCTTTTCCCCCCCAAATCATTTTCCACTTACTGTATATTTGTTATGTACCACCATTGCAACTGCGTAAGACATGTACAGGAATAAGGACAAAAAAGACATTACAAATCCCTTAAATGCTAATATGTAACTGTTCAAGGAAACCCCAGTGGTTATTTTGTGAAGGAGTGTGTTGATGTGTAAGTTAATATTAAGGGAGAGGTGGTGGGGGAGGTGAAGGGCTGTGAGAAGTATTAGTCATCCTCTTTCACTGCTGAGTGTGTATGGGGATCAGCTTGTTTATCCTGCTTCATACAGCGCCATCACTCCCTCTCACGTTTTCTGCATGAGGCGTCACATCAGATAACACGACATGATGACAGTGTGCATTAAGCATAACCATGGACCATTGCCCTAAATTTGAAGTGTAAAACGTCCGTCCTCCTTTGACTCTCATCCAGGGGGAGATCACAGCTGCATCGCTGATGTAATAGTTTGACTTTGGCATGTTTTGTGTAGTGGAAAAGGAGTCAGATGAAGAGAGAGAGAAGGCAATAGAGGGGAGTGAGACGCACTAGCTTTCTGCTACAAAGCATGCCAGAGCAGCAAGATGATGTAACAGTTCTCAGTTACCCATGGTGCTTTGCTAAAAAGATGAATGAAGTTGGATATGGAGAGGGCGTCAATGAAAACACACGCATGCGTGCTCACTTGCATTTCATCTGTATTCTAATCATGTGGAGTGATTCATACAGCATGCAACACTGTCCACAAAAAAAGGAAGGCAAGATGCTTTAAGTGAACGGAGTAGGAGTGTGTGTGTATTGTGCATCAAAAGGAACCACAAGTGCCTTTCCTATTCCATTTGTCCTTTGGCTTGTGGGTTTAGCAATGAATAAAAAAGGTTGAGACATGAGGAGAGGTGAAGAGCATAACTGAAAGACAGAGAAAGAAATGAAGGTGAGACAACAAGGAGCGAAAGGTTGGCAGAGAGGAGAGTGTGTGGGCTGTCTCAGGAGTTTCCTGCACTAAAGGTGTGATGCTGTAACTGAGGAGAGAGAAAGACCGAGCTAAGAGAGAAACACCCTGTATGGGTGCGTGTCTTTTGTCATGCAGGAGATAAGGTGGTGTTTAATACACCAGTCGGTGTCATGCATGCGTTTAGCAAGGAAATAACAACAATCATTCTCAATTCTTAAATCCAATTACAGTAGAGCATCAATGAACTTTCAGAAAACAACATGGGTGGATCCAGGTGGTGGCCAGGGTGGCACTGGCCACCCCCAGAATCTGACTGCCCCCCAGATGCCAGCCCTGCCGGAATCAAAATGTGATACTCATCTGTGGTAATAAATACATTAAAAACAATGGCAAATTGTTGCCCTAATGAAAATAACATTTTTCTGGTGCTTTATAACTGATATTGGTGAATTTATTTTCAATTAGCAGCAGCAACGTCCCCAGCTGGGAATAAATAAGGAGCACAGCCAAAGTTAGCCTAAAAAAAAACACTATGTGTGTCTCATTTTTACACAAAACAAACACCTGTCTTCTTAATAATGTATGGTTTATTATTTTTATTTAAATGTGCCACCCATCTATGAGTCTGTGCCCCAGCCTGGTCACCCCATCCGAGATTTTCTAGATTCACTGCTAGAAAACAAGAGCAGAGATGCTACAGGCCATAGTGTACTACTCTGCTAAATAATAACTACATTCACTTGTGTGGATGTACCACTGGTGTGAAGAGCCTTCAGACCTACTTATTAAATAACTGTGATTCCAAGTTGTTGGCGTTTTTGTACCACAGTTTCTTATCGTCTAACATACATTCTGATACCAATATAATGATGATAAAGTATTATCAGCCTGACCAATTTATCCAGACGCCACACATCTGCTCAGACCTGTTATTACAGTATTGCTTTAGAGATTTATAGAACCTGCTACTCAATAGTAGATGCACAGCTCTATCAGGTCACTTTATGGAATTTTAAAATGCCAGCCTATTTTAAAGAGGGTGCATGGTCAAAGAGTTGCCGTTTCACATACAGTATAGGCACACACAGCTGATTATTGGTGAGTCTTATAAATAATGTAAATGATCTGCATCAAAGCAATGATAAGTTTCTATTTAAGCTCTTTATAATTTGGTGAGAGAAACATCATTACTGCTGCAACACATGGTAAGCTAGTTAGGGCCTAAAATAACTTTTATGCAAACTAAAAAGGGGCAGGCCACATAAAATCAATGGCAAACACAAACACAAACACAGCTTACACAGTTGCAACCAATAAAAAGCTATTGAAAAGAGTAAACAGCTCTGTAGATTTTCTCACACTCATGTGACGCAATATCTTATTTAGGGTGGGCATGAGGCCAGTCAGCTTTGGACGAAAATAAAACCATGCTGTTGACTGTTTTATGCACTGTGCTGCTCTGTGCCTTACCTCTGCCTTAATGTGCGTGTTCATGTAACAATAATAACAGTCAATAATACAGAATTAAATGTGCCAAAGAATCGGATAGGATTCATATGGAAGCTCAGTATACGAAATATTAAATTACGATTATCATCACCATCAATAATAATAATAATAATAATAATAACAAGAGTGCTATCGAAATATAAACGATATATAAATACTGCTGACCTGAAATATACAACTATTTCCTTTTACTGAAGGTGAATTTATTAATTCATTCCCCCTCTCCGTGATTCACACACCGACCATAATGACGGGGACTGGACGAGCGGAGACTTCTGACGTCAACCAAGGAAAATGACAAACGCATCCAATGAGGGGCCGAGACTGTGCAGCGCCAGGACGGAGCAGCCGACAGAAGGCTAATAACCATGCCAACGGAGGAATATATCGTGCGCCGCTGACTGGGGAGAAAAGGGGAGAACGAGAGGGGGGAACCCCTAAAACAAGAAAATATAAAGACATCTTTGCATAAAGTGGAGGATAAAGGACAAGGCACGTATCCTAGTTTCCTGCAGGGGGAAGAAGAAGACAAGAGCTGGTAATTTCTCTTTCTTTTTGTCTCTGTGGCGTGGTCTCCCTTCCATCCCGATTTCTACCTCTCTCCCTTCCCTCTTGCTCGCGCTAGCTCAGGTACTGCACTGCTGCAGCTGAATGAAACTGATCAAGATATTTCCTGCTCTCCCCTTAGTTAGAAAGCACTCCACGGCTGAGCAGCGGGTTATTAGTCGGTGACAGGTCGCTGCTGGTGGTTTAGAAAAAAAAAAACGCATGGCTCCAGTCTGCACGAGCCACTGTTACCGCAGGGATCTGCGCCCCTGAGCTGCGGGGCTTTTGACGGTACCGCTGGTGACCTTCCCCAGGCCGTTTGCAATCACGGAGGGTGCGCGCGTGAGTGTTTGTGCGTGCGCAGTGGCATGAAGGCCAGAGATCAAAAATAAGGGCGCGGGGGTTTGACAGAGGGCTGTGTGGGGTGGTTGAGGTGGGAGATGTGAGCTGGGAGAATTTTTTTTTTTTTTTGTGAATGGAGTTCCACATCCTTTTGGCGCGCGCGCTCTGGCAGCTCCAGCTTGGCTGAGTTAAAATTAGCCTCATGCCGGATGTTCCGTCTGCGTGCGGCAGCGGCATATGTGGATCAGAATCCGAATTAACAGGGCGCACGGGCACGCACTCACACACGCTCATGTCTGGCCGCGTTCATTAAACGCCTCTGACAGCAGCTATCATCGCGACGAACCCCAGGACGTCATGCACCATTTTTAAAGATGCTCTAAAAATAGAATTTATTGATGATGGTTTTGACTGTGAGGACACTGAACATCTTCTAGGTAGGAATGCGTCAAGTTCAAGCATTTTAAAAGGGTATTAGACTATTTAGCAAATTGTTTTTGTGTAGGCTGCTCAGCCTGTCACGTTGTTTTGAGGCCAAACTGGAAGGAATATTACTGTCATTTCAGGAATACTTGTCCCTTGTGTGTGTGTGTGTGTCCACACCTGTCATTGTTCTGCTGCTGTATACCTGTCAGCATGTGTGAGCTGCTGGTGACATTCTGCCTAGGGTCAAAGGCACAGTTGTTTTCATGAATGAATGAGTGAACTGATAGATGGATGGACACATGAATGTTTTGCCCCTTTATGACGAGGGATACAGCCTAAGCTAACACCTTGTCCCTTTTTCTTTTGCTGCCTGCATCTGTCTTTTGTATTATTTGCCTCCTTTTACTGATGTTCTTCTCTTCCGTGTCTTCACTACCAACCAACAACCTTTCTCTCTGCTCTCCGTCGTTTTTAATAGTCTGAACATGTACATTCTTTTGAACATTTTTCCCCTTCTCTCACATTTCTTCATTCATGTTGCCCTGCTGTTTTGTTGTCCAGTTTGTCTTGTTTCATCTCTTCTTTTCAACATGCCATTGTCATTTGCTGAACTTTTAGCCTTGCACTTTTCACTCAACCCCTGACTCACCAGTTTCACTTCTGCTGTTTTTCCTTTTTTATCTTTTCTCCTTCCTAACACCCTCCAGCTTTCCATTGTGCATATACTGTATCTCCTGAACATTTTCCTACCCATTATCAATTGCAACATCCTCCATTTCTCCTCACCTTTCCTCCTTACTTCTTCATTTCACCTTTCACCCACACATTCACCTCCTTCTTTAAACATTGTACTTAATCATTCTTTGATTCCTTCTTGACTCACTTCTTACTTCTTGCCCACCTTCCCTTTCATATACTTCCCTCATTTTCTTCCTCCTTCCCTTATTCCATCTTTCTTTTGTTTCCCCAGCAATGATTCTCTCCCTGGCTGCAACAGCAGCCATGAATAGCGGCGGGGGGGGCAGGGTCAACCCCCCCCTCCCCGACTCCTCCACCTCCTGGAGCCCAGGTGAGGATCCCTCCAACTCCTCCTCAGAACCTGTTGCACGAACTTTAACCCCTGACCTCCAGCCAGCAACCACAGCTGTTGCTGTGCAGGAAGTCAGCCCCTGGGATATTGCGCTTTGCATTACTGGGACGCTCATCTCCTGTGAGAATGCCCTGGTGATCGCTGTGCTATTCTACACACCAACACTAAGAGCTCCGATGTTTATCTTGATTGGCTCGTTGGCAGTGGCAGATCTCCTGGCCGGCCTAGGCCTCATCCTGAACTTTGTCTTCACTTATTTGGTCGACACCTCAGTGGAGTTTGTGACGCTGCTGTCAGTCGGACTGCTCATCTCGGCCTTCTCAGCGTCTGTCTTCAACATTCTTGCCATCACCGTGGACCGTTACCTGTCACTGTACAATGCCCTGACCTACCACACTGAACGAACAGTCACCTTCACTTATGTGATGGTGGCCTTTATCTGGGTGTCATGCCTCACGCTTGGCTTGCTGCCGGCGCTTGGCTGGAACTGCTTGAAAGATGAGTCCACATGCAGTATCTGCCGACCCGTCACCAAAAACAATGCCGTGGCGCTTGCCGTCACCTTCCTCCTAGTCTTTGCCCTGATGATGCAGTTCTACCTTCAAATCTGCAAGATTGCCTTCCGCCACGCGCAGCAGATTGCAGTGCAGCACCAGTTTGTGGCCATCTCCACCACCAAAGGTGTCTCCACACTGTCGGCCATCCTGTGTGCCTTTGGGGCGTGCTGGCTTCCATTTGCCATGTACTCCATCGTGGCTGACTCTAGCTACCCCGTAATATACACCTACGCCACAGTCCTCCCCGCCACCTGCTGCTCTGTGATCAACCCGATTATCTATGCGTTCCGAAACCCAGACATCCAGAAGTCGCTGTGGATGGCCTGTTGTGGGTGCATCCCGTCCATTCTCTCCCTCAGACCCAGGACGTCCAGTGATGTGTAGCAGGGAAGGTTGGTTTCTGTTTGGTATGATTGATGCCAATTCAGGGTTGTAGGAGGGAGAGGATGGAACAGGAAACAAGAGATGAAGAGTAGAAAATGTGAACGTTATGGCTGAGGAACAGGATCTCGTCTAGTCCTCATACCAGGGCTGGTAGGCTGATAGCAACGTACAGCTTGCCACAGTAAAAGTGGCACAGTGAGAAGGGAGGACAGTGCATGGTCAACAAAGATCATGCACTTTTTGTGGCTCAAAGAAAACCAACAGAGTAACAGAGGTGGCATAAAAGCAACTGCAAAAGAATGATTAAGGCATCCTCATGGTGGCTGTGGGACTTTTAGGGTGTGTGTCAGGTGACTTTTTTTTAACTGACCTGCTTTAGGGTCCGAGAAGCGAGTCCTACTTCTCAAGATTAGCATACAGGTGAGGGTGGGATTTAGGAACCAGCAATCTAAATCTCCACATGACTGGAGCTTAGCACTGCATTGTTATGCAATCAGAAGGAGTGAAACAGTCTTAAAATGTTTTGTTTTGACTGCTGTGTTTGAAATTAAGTGATGTGTGGATGAAAATACAATGAGCTAATTACACACAATGAATGACCTTGAGTATTCCTAATGAGCTATCTTTGCAGTCTTCTGATAGGAAAAACATTTCCTCCCTTGAAACATATGTTAACTATGTTACCTTGATCTGATGCAAATTAGGTAATTAGAGTTTATAGACAGAAACTGCAAAAATAATGAACTCTCCTGTGCTGAGAATGTTAGTTAGATGGTGTTCATTAACATTGCTAGTCTGCCAAGCCCATTGTGAATTTTCCCACTGCCAACAGCACAATCTGCCTTTTGTCAGAGAAGGACACACATTTCATTTCCTGAAATTGGTGAAAAATGCATCACATTTTACAGAAAGAACAACTCAATCACGTGCCATCCCTCATCAAACATTCAAATCCTAAACAAAACCTAATCTACCAGGTTCCTAGTGCACAGATAACCCCTGCTAGTTTGCAAAACCTAAAGAAGGATTTCCAAAATTAAGGTTGGTGTGTGCTGTCCTTGGCATGATGAAATCAAATATGCTCCCTGTCTGAGGAAAGTGGGTTCCTCAGTCAGCTCCTGTGCCGTGACAGCGAAGCAGAGAGCGAGCTGAATTCAGCACCAAGGACAGCACCACTGCAGCGCAACGCTACCCTGGGAATGCTCTCTGCTGCGGGGGAGAGCGAGCTGGAAAGTAGGCTATGCTGTTCTCTACACCATCTTGTTAGGGAATGCGAGATTGGCTTCAGCTTAACTCGTCTCTTTTCCCCATTTCAAATCCATTCTGTGTTAACTGACTGTTTTGTTGTGCATACATGATGGATAAAGCTATTTTGAAATCCATTTGCTACAACTTTCAGAGTTATTTGGCCTCTCACTCTTTTTTGGCTTTAATTAGCTGAATTAATTTTGGGAGAGATGAACTGTTTTACATTTGTTTAAAAATAGAATTAAGACTCAATAAAAACACAATTATTTTACAGAAAGCAAAAAAGTATTCCAGTTAGCTCCAGTCACGCTCACATTGGCCTTAAACCTCCACATTAGGTTGACTAGTGCAACTGTGACCCTGTTCTTTTTATCCTTGACCATTTCTTGCCCCTCTTGTATCTCAGCAGGAGGAAATATGCATGGGGAAAGAAAAAGCCCAAAGAAGAGCCAGTTAAACAAGCCTTCTGACATGGTGATAGCAGTCGATGTTCATCGGAGACAAATGAGCCCTTACGGTTTATCTGCATCTGCATAACACTGCTTAGGCCAAAAGGCTTTAAATGTAGAGACAGCATCCTAACTCTATTGCCCAATTGATTATCCATTAGCTAGAGCTGAGTACATCCATATTGAATAGGTCATTTTTCATCTGGACAGCTTTGGTTGGCTTTAGTAAGTTGTGCAAAAACCTGCAAAAATAATTAAATAAAAGGATGGTGTGTATAAACATGGTTTGGAAAAATATTTTCCATGCTTATACTTAGTCCAGTGCCCAGGAATATACTGTATCAGACAATCATGGAAAATGGCTAAACCCAACAAGACACATAAAATTCTATAATAATGCTGTAAATCTGCAGCATCAGATGGTCTAAACTCCCCCGGCTTGTGCTTTACTCCTTCCAATTTCAATTCTCAACTTGCAGTCTGTCACCCGTAGCTTGATATTCACTGCACACACATACACACTCTTGCCCTGCCTTGAAGAACCGGCGCAGCTCCACCCCAGGGGCCCATGTGATGGCTCGGCGGGTTAACGAGAAGCGAGCAAGGCGAGATGATGTGGCGTGAAATAGAAACGCTGGGCAAGACGCGCTTTAACGCAACCTCAGGTTACACCCCAGGATGAAGTTATTTCCCAATGAAAGGGCATTATGCAAGTTAAATCCAGCTAATGTTAATAACATCTCTGTCATAAAGGCATCAGGAACTGACCTAACGTAGAGAGGCAGTAGTGAGGGTGAGCTAGAGAGGGGATTTACTGCCAACCTCTATCTGCATTTAAATGATCTACGGAGATTGTTTTCACTCTTGTGTTCCTCTGCACAACCAAGAGATACTGAGAGAGATGACTAAGCCGCTGGCATGCTGCTAATATACAAGTGTGGGAGGTGTGCTGGCTTTGGGAAAATTGCTCATGGAAAGTGTATGGGCTGTAGATTCAAACTATAAATGTAAGACAACATAAAGTTTGTTTCTGTAACGACAGGGAGCTGATTCCAAATTCCTTGCTTTGTACCAAATAAATCACAATAAATGACAACAGCAAAGACTGAATCTATGATAATGGCGCACAGGAGCAGCAGGTATTAGGAGCATCATAGTGTAAATTAAAGCTTAGAGTCTCATTTTTCTTAGTGGAAGTTGTTGAGTTTGTTCAAAATTGCAGGTTCTCATGTCTTTCCTTTGGCCTTATTGAAACAAAAAGTCAGTTGCAATAACGTCCAACTATATTTTGCTGTGTACAAAAAGCCACAATTGAGCAACAAAGAGAGAGAGAAGGGAGGTGGAACAAATAGCACACTGTACTATATCTGAAAGAAATATGGCCTGGTTGGCTGGACTTTTCCATAATGCATTTCAGCAGTAGTGAATCATAGAAGTAGGACAAACCTACATAAAAAGCCAATGCTGTGTTTCTATTTATAGATTCTGATTTGCAGACAGAGATCTCACAATACTGTTGAATGGCTTTTCTCTCTAAAATATTTTCTCCTCACCTTCATTTTTTGAGTGTTAGCCATCTCATTTTAGAATTAGACATTAAAAAGCAATGGCTACTGTATCTGAAGTTTAAGGTTACACCAGTTAAAGTTGCCAATCTGACCACCTTCCTCTCTCACTCTCTTTTTTTGCTGGTGAAACTGTCTAATGGTAAAAAAAAAAGAGAGACTTGCATCTATTATTAAGTGAAAAGCTTTCAATTACACTGAAGCTGCAGCATGAGATGAATGGAGCTCAGTACTGTTGGCAAGCTTGGTGAAGTGCAGCACCGTGGGGGGGCGACTCACTAGTGGTGCCAGGCTAAACTAATTGATCCCAGGGAGTTAACTGAATCCATTTCACTTAGAAAATAATTGCAGCTCTTATTGGCACACAGTTCTCTTGTATGCACAATTAATATGTGTGAGACTTGCTTAGTTACTTGCAGTTGGAGATGCTAGATGGGACACACTGAACAAAATCTGATGAAGTTCACTTATTCAGCACAGCTTTTCATAGAAAACAACAAAACAGGTTGTTTTTTTTTTTTAACCCTGGCCTTTATTTGGTGCTAGCACAGCTAATGCTAACATACTAGATGCGGCTTTCAGGCTTTCCCTGCTTTTCTCAATATTCAAAATTACTCAAAATTACAATTATGACCCAAACCTCTAAGTGCCATATTAGTGTGGTATAACCTGTCAACAAGACAAGTGCCAGAAACTATAGTAACAGGAAGTCTGCTGTTTAAAAAGGCCTTGACTCCAGTTCAGCGAAGTCTTTGCACTTGCAGTGTTGGTGAACTTTGACACACAGATGTGAGCCACTGACCAGTAGCAAGCAGTCTTATTAATGCTGACTTTTGAGGGAACAGAGTCTGCTAGCATAGCTGGTTTGCTGTGTTGCACTATCCACTAGCTAGGTGGGTTTTAATCCACCAGTTTTTAATGTGTATTTTCAATTTCTGCATCAGTGGAAATGATAAAAATGTTTTCTTAAAAAAGTTTTGAAATAAAGGTTGCAAAAAAAGGTTTTTATTCTTGGCTGAGGTGGAAAGGTTGCTGGGTCAAATAAAGGCAAAATGCAGATTGAACAGCTCAGTATAGAAAATGGCTTGGTAATTTTGTTTCTTTATGGTGAAACCAACCTTTTTTAATCAGAGGTTAACATATTCCTCTATAGGTTGAGAAATTTGACCTGTAGGTTCAGTTTCCCAACCCGCCATGAAAGCATCCCGAGGGTTTTTAGACATTTTGGAAACGAAAGGATTTCACCTTTGCACTTTCAAATGTTGGAGAGCATTAGTTTGTTTGCAGTCATACGTCTACGAGGCTATATGGTAATGCTCCAGGGGTAAAACAAACTCTCTTTGATCCAAGTCTGGAGAGAATCATAAATTCCAAAGCAAAATCGCCTGGAACGAAACTGACTGAACAACTGATCTGAAGTCAGTGTTAATTACACATTTTAAACAACATCCTTGACTGTCCCATCTGGCATGTCCATCTATTGATTGTTTTAACAATTAATAACACTCATCTGTGAATATGCCACTACTTGGTCAACCATTCCTGGGGCAGCAGTGGAGCGACCGCTCACTGTGCGTGTGAATGGCTGTGTGCTTTTGTGCGTGCGTTCTCCTCTACCCCACCCCCCGGGATCATAGCCAATTGTAATGAACCATATCTCAACCAACTCTCACTGTAAACACACGCTGAATGGTTTTGTCAGCCAATATACAGGACTATAACTCAATTTAGAAAAAAGAAATACTGTACAAGTGAGTGTGTGTGTTATGTTTCTTATGCAATGCTGTACAGAAATGTATATTTTTGTAATGTCATGAGAACATGAGCTACAGGACACAGTCACTGCTGTGAGTGTGTTCTGAGTGTGTGTTTCTTCCTCTTCTTCTGTGTTCTTCCTATAAAATGTTTCTTTGGGGGGGAGGGGGTGTTGTTGTGTGTTGGATATGCTGAAAAAGTGCCATATTTTTTGACTTTATAGTGTCCTCTTCTCGGTTTGTGTGCTGTACATAAAGTTTATCACAGGGCGATTCTCATTGTGGAGTCTGAAGTTGTCAGAGTCCAAGTCAGTAAATCTTTAAAACAACAAAAATACTCAACACGGTCATGGTCAGCTGCTGGATTAGAAGCTAATATGTAAAAGGACTTGACCTTGATATTATTGATCACTATACTGAGCAAACAGAGAAACAGACACCGCACATCTGACCACTCCAAACTCCCTATTTATAGCTGTAACTTCACACTGATTTTCAAGCAACAGCAGCAAAAAGAGGTGATATCAGTTGTTCTGTATAAAGTGTTTGTTTCTTGACTTTTACATGAACGGCATGCACTACAAAACAGAGACAGACACAGGCAAAGAGGGGGAGATGACGCATGGGCACAGCTGTACGTCACAGTCAGGTTTCCAGTGACGCCATTTTGTCGTGTCGAAGAGAGCAGGTCGTTTCAAAGACAACCCCCCCAACCCTGTTTTTCCCTCTTTCAAAACATCCCCCTCACTTTTTGCTCTTCCTCTTTCTCCCTCTCTTCTTTCTCATCATGTCTAAGACCTTGTCGTCATCATTTCTTTGTCATTTCAAGATCTTTCCCTTTCTCCGCCCTGTTTTCTTTCATCCTCAACACCTTCACCTATCTTTTTCTAACTCTTTTCCCCTCGCTCCGTCTAATTCTCCTGTCCAATACTTTGCTATCCCTGGCATGCAGGATTCTAGTTGGCCAGACTCCATCTGAAAATAGTTGCCCTGAAAGAAGATAGAATGAAGAAAAAAAAAACAGCAAAAAGAAACGAAAGGAGGAAAGAAGCAGAATTCAACCCTCCTTTCATGAGCACAGAGGCAAACCTTCACTTTGTATGAGTGGATGGAAACATCCACCTTGTCCTCTTGTTCCTCTTTTTTCTTTCCCTGTCCCAGGCCTTCTGTGTCATCTCCTTTCCATTCATCCTTCTCTGTTTTTGTACCTCTCCTTCCTTTGTTACTTCTGAGCAAAAGAGTTTTCACAAGCAGGGTTTGGAGTGAATGCCTCCAATGAATAAGCAGCAACCGCTCAAACAAAAGTCTGTCAGGCTAGGCTAATGTTCTCCCTCTAACCTAGCTGGCAACACTTCAGGCATGCAGAATTTGTCAAACAAACAAAAAAAAAAAACCATTACAGAGCTAATTTTGTATTGGACCAAGTATGGCCTTCATAGAAAACTTTGGTTTTATGCATTGATTGTTGGTGTGGGTAAGGAAGCAGCATGCGTGTTAAGAGCATCACTTATTTTAAATCCTCAAGGTGAGGGTGTTATTGGGTAATGATACTGTGATGTCAGAGACCTAATATGGTGTCCTTGTTTTTTTTTTTTTTTTTTTTTTTTTTAACTTATTTTTACTGTGTGTTCTTTCATTTTACCTCTTGAGTTTGTATTGTGAAGCAGTTGGTTGCTATAAAAAAAAGTAAAAATGCACTTTATAAGATGGACATGTTACACATTGCACTTGTAAATGTCGAATGTAAAACCTTGAATAGAAAGATTTATTTTTATTATTGTAAATAACTGAGAAGAGAAAAAAAATGAAAACAAAATGCAAAAAAGTGGAGAAGAATTTGCCAAATAAAATGAGAACAACAAAAGACTAAAGTTGTAAGTTTTTTTTTTGTGTTTTGGAATGGAGTCAACCCTGTGACATCAGTACTGCATGTGTCTGTGTCTGTGGGCGTTAGCCTGAGTTTGCATGATAATATTCACATGTGGGTGTTATTATGCGTGTGCGTGGGGATCGTTAAGTGTGTGAGTCAGTATGACAGGTCACTGTAGTGTTAAGGAAAGCCTGGGAGTAAAAACTAACAGAAAGATGCTGCTGAATTATTAAACCACTCCCTTATTAAACAGACCAAGTTAGAAGAGGGAAAAAGAAGATGAAGATGAGAAAGAGGAAGAATCCAATCTGAGGTGATGTGACACCCACACACATCCATATGAGATTCATGGAGAAGAAAACAGAGGAAGCCCAGAGAGAGAGAGGACAAGGAACGGTGGATAAACAGCTGATGGAGGAAGACGTTCTCAGGAACAGGCTGCCCTGTCACTAAACAGCTTGAAACACACACACGGTGCTTCCAGCCTCTCAGGGGACATTACACTGACTTCCATTAATTTCCTGGAGAGTTACCCTAACCATAACCATAACCACAAGTCATCACTCAAAAATGTTGTGAATTTCAGGACTTGCTTTTTGTCCCCACAAGAATGTTGAGTCCCCACAGCATGTGTGTAAACAGGTTTATGTCCCCAAAACATAGGTAATACCAGGAGCGCACACACACACATATATATATATATTTGTTGTCCGTGCCACTATGTGCAGGCATCTATTCTCAGCTGTATTTGTGTGTGTTTATGAGAATGGGGTACACATACACACACACAGGCTAACAGTAAAGGTTCTTCCCAAATAATTACTTAATAATGTCACAGGAAATTTCACCCATCCAAATCTACGATGCAGGTGTGAGAGAGAACCATAACTGAACATTTAATTGCTTGTGTGTCAATGAAAGAGCGAACTAGGTGAGCATGGATGTGTGCATGAGTGAATACATGACTCTGCATTCTCTGCATGGTGAAGAGCTCCTCCATGTGGCCAGAGGTGAGTACTGCAAAGACAAGGCACAACATCCACCCACACCACGTTTTTTCCCACGTCATTACAGCAGCTCAAAACAAGCATAAAGCCAACTCTCCCTCCAACCTTATTGCCTCAGTCACCCTCTATCTGCAAAACGCATACTCTCCATCGCCCACTCTCTCTTATTCTGTGTATCAAAAGGCTGTCTCCACCATCTGCTGCAAATTACCTTCATGTACACATTTGTGTTTGACAGCACAAAAAGAAAAGCACAGAAGGTGGTGATATTCTTACATCTGTTGCGTCTGACTCACACTCACACACGAGTGGAGCGATCTCAACAGGAGACTTAGGGACTACTGTGGTTCAGTGGGTGGAGCAGTCATCTCCCCACCGGAGGGTTGGAAGTTCGAATCACAGTGCCTACAAATTCCTTGTGTGTGTGTGTGTGCGCGTAACATACTTGGCCAAATAAAGGTGATTATCAGGATAATAATAACCTTTATTTGGCCAAGTATGTTACACACACAAGGAATTTGTTTCCAGTACAAAACTGAGGCAGCCATCTGCAGCACCAACTCACGCTGATGGCTCTAACCATCGGGGGCAACTTGGGGGTTCAGTGTCTTGTCCAAAGACATTTTGACATGTGGACTGCAGGCACCATGATTCGAACCTCCAACCCCCCTGGTGGGGAGACAACCGCTCTACCCACTGAACCACGTTTTTCATTGCCTTGCTTTGTTCCAAAGGGACACTCAACACTCATCTTGAAATGCTTGAAAGAGATCTTAGCACAATCGTGGCCTTAGATCTAAATTTGAGTCAACCTTCACCTAACCTCATAAACTTACCTCCTTGCAAACCTGAGTTGCCCTGCAAAACTGTAGATTCCTGGCCCCTTGCGTGTAGCTACTTTCAGCAAATATCCACCCATAGGTTTTGGCTCTCCAGCTGTTTCTGGACCATGCTCTTTCACACACATCTTCACTTCTGGAAGCAGCACATTCAGACAGTTTAGCAACATCTTCTCCACCATCTCTTCCATGGTACAAGGGTCGTACAGGACCTACTTACAATGCAGGTCCTTGAAGTAGATGATTGTGGGACGGGGTGGAGGCTCTGTGTCTACAACAAATGCAGGTCCTGTTGAAAGAGACACGAACATTCCTAACAACTGTTTACAAACCCCTTAAGGATTTTAAGGAAGTATGCAATGCCATTTTAGTGTTCATTTTCCAAACCTGTATGAGTAATACAATTTAATTTACCCAGAAATTATAGGTAAGGGTTACTAGTTGCCCACTTTGATAGATCATGTACCACAAGTTACCTCTCCAAAATAAATGGTAACTAGTGGCTGTGAATGTGGGAAATTATTTTTCTGTGTATAATTTGGATCAGGGTCATCAGTGATGAAAACATTTCATTTACTAGACAAACATGCTCATCCAGTGGCATAATAATTTTTCAGTGTGACTCATGTCACTACTACAGCTTTTAACTGGCTTTATTTTGGCACCATCACCATTATACAAAGGTAGGTGACATTTTAGTCACCTACCAATGGAAAGGAACTGAAGCCACAGACTCACTTAAATACAATATGTACAAGTTGCTCCCAGTATTGTTTGCATCCTCATAAAAGATAAATCAGTGCATCTTGTACAGAAATGAGCCTTTGATTCTAAGATCCAGACTAAAAAAATGGCACTTGAACACTTCTGAAACTGAATTGTCTGTATTTTTCAAGTTGACATGCACTTTAAGCCACAGAATTCCCTTCACCATTATGTGCATGTCTTTGGTGCTTTTTGTTTATTTTTTTCCCACTGACCTCTCTCTCTTCGTCTCTTCGTCTCTGCTGTGTCACCATCTGTGTCCCAAAATGAATCATCTATCCCAAACAGCAGCCATGAGTTAATCTTCCACCTTGCCAACGCCAAGAACAGCATGGAGCTGGAACAAACCATGTTGATACTGGTGGGTGTGTCACAGCACCGAGAAAAAGGAATAATGATTACTGGACTTAAGACATTTCTTACACTTCAAATTAAACATTATTTTCAGTATTTGAGAATGTGTATACCCACACACAGTATATGTGATGAAAAATGAGATGAGAAATCAATGTGTTTCATCACATCCCACACGTTAGTGACAAATAACATTAATTCTCTTCTCTAATTATTCCTTTTTAATACTCTGCATGGCTACCCAACATAACAGTGTCAGTAAGGACATTTTTCAAAACTCTGTCATTAGTGACTCATGTAAGAGGCCGGTACGTCATTTAAACAAAAATGGCAAATCAATTAGAGAAAATAGTATAATAATTTTCTTTAAGTTGGGTCAACTTCTACATAGAAGGCTTTAAAATCTAACAATACATAAACATAACCAAATTATTAACTATTACTAAGGTACATTTTGAGGAAAAATCTTTAGGTATATTTACTAAGTGTTCAACATTCAAAAACTGCATGACACTACACAGGAAGCAAAAAGCCAACCACCATTTTTGATTTTTTTGACTCAAATATTTAACTACTGGTAGACTGGGGGAGGAATAACACAGGAAAAACAGTTTTGTTCACCATTTATTGTCTATAGTTACATGCATACTTGCTTACAGTTGGTTTTAGTGTGCAATACACAGCTTTATTTTGTTTCATTGTCTAGGTTATATTACCCCAAATGTATTTTACTTTACAGGATACCTTACCAAAAGTCTGTACAACATGATTTATTTCTCACATTTTCAACACAGTTACATATTCATACAAGCCAGTAGCCAAAGATACTTAAGGTACTATTGACTGATGAACTCTCTGCCTCTAGTGCCTCTCGTTTCCAAGTTCAAAATGTGAGAGCTTGTCTTCTACATTTGGAAACTGTGGATGAGCATTAGCAATTTGAAACTCTTGACAGGACCAGTCGCTGAAAAGGTCTTTAAGTGCTGGAATCCATAAACGTCGGCAAAATTTTCTGGACCGAATGCAGCTCATCTGTGGCTCTTGCATAACAACAAAACCATAAGATAAACAATTGAACTTGCGGCAAGTTCTCTCCAAATTTGTTTCGTGGGGGTTGTTCTCAAAATGAAAAATCCACATTCTAGCTGTTCACGTGTGCTTTTCTGCTTCAGCAATAACGTTTACATGTTTAGTTCTCGGCGTAGTTCTTTAACACTATTTTGAACAACCAGGGTTTAGAACAAACAAGAACTCATCGACATATCATCCAGTGCTTAACCCAGCTGTAATTTGTATTCTTAAACAGACTACTCAGTGGAGTGAGCCAGTTCCTCAACTGCTATGTGAGATTTATATACAACAAACAAATAACTACTTGTGAGCCCTATCACTTCCTTCTGTAATAAATAATATGGTCAGAATCTCAAACCTGCACAACAACTATCCAATCAAAACAGTCTGATATTTGACAGAAACTCTCTGCTCAGATTACTTTTTTTCTATTTTCTGTAATAATGTAAATGTGATATTTGTATTGACATCGAGGTTACAGCATGACAGCCTTTTGGTGGAACTGGGTTCCTGCTGTATCATAAACTGTTAAAAGTGCACGTTTTACTCACAAACACAAATGGACAAATAAAAGCGATCTGTAGAAAACTAAAATTAAACAGCATCTGAATTTTTTTCATATTAAAAACACGTGCCTTCCTTTACGACTGAGATGAAACACATGCTGTG